TATATATATATATATATATATATATATATATATATATTACGTAGTATTATGTCACAGATACCCGGCAAGCCAATGCTGCAAATCGAATCAGCTGAATATGTCAAGTAGCATAGACGAGTCTAATTAAGTCCGAAACAACATGTAGTCAACATTGAAATTAAGAGTATAAAATTTATTACTTCCCCCTTGTATCCTATGTTTGAATTAAAAATATAAAGTTTAGGGTTTCCTTTCCTCTAACCCTAATTGGTATTATGAATAACATGAGTTCGTCCTTCTTGTCCCTCACACAGTATTACGAATACAAATGCCAGTGTTTATAGTCCTCTGTCCCTAATTGGTATTATGAATAACATGAGTTCGTCCTTCTTGTCCCTCACACAGTATTACGAATACAAATGCCAGTATTTACAGTCCTCGAACCCGTATTTGTATTATTAATAAGGTCAGTTCTTCCCATTCTGTATTTTGTACTTGTATTACAAAACATTGACACTTTTCTTGTACACTCGTATGTTAAAATAACGGGCTCCGACACCATCTAACAACCAATATGTTTGGTACGTTGGAGAAAGAGGGCGTAAAAGAGTACAAGATCATTTACCCTAAATACTAACTAGTTTACATTGTTGCTGCCGTTTTCGTGGAAGTATTAAGAGAGATTAAGTCTGTGCTGGTAGTGGCTAAGAGACGATACTGGGTTTTCCTCATGAATCAGCTAATGTTATCCGGGTTTCGCTGACTTCTATATTAGGTTATCAATTAGGTGGTCGTAGAGAATTCTTCAGTTTTTCAGTCTTGTTCTCGTCCTATTATTATTCCCATTTATCGGTATTATAGTGTTGTACGTCTATTATGCTCTTGAATTCTAACTTTTGTTGGCCTCTTGCTATTAGAATCTACATCCAAAGAAATGCTGTAAATGGTTTCCCTCCCCAGTATTTAAGAGGTTTGATGTGTATTCGTGACCAAAGTACGATACTTCCTGTTTTAGTACTCACTCTGATATTATGAATATCAATACAGTAGTGATGAAAATGCACAATATCGAGCATATTCGATAAATAAACGTAGAATATAAACCACATTTCTGGAACAAAGACTATAAAGTAGTTTCTAAACATTGTTGTTTAAGATTATAAACTAGTTTCTAAACATTGTTGTTTAAGATTATAAACTAGTTTCTAAACATTGTTGTTTAAGACTATAAGCTAGTTTCTAAACATTGTTGTTTAAGACTATAAGCTAGTTTCTAAACATTGTTGTTTAAGACTATAAGCTAGTTTCTAAACATTGTTGTTTAAGACTATAAATTAGTTTCTAAACATTGTTTTTTAAGACTATAAACTAGTTTCTAAACATTGTTGTTTAATGTTATAAACTAGTTTCCAAACACTGATGTTTAAGACTGTAAGCTAGTTTCTAAACACTGAGGTTTAATATTATAAACTAGTTTCTAAACACTGATGTTTAAAACTGTAAACTAGTTTCTAAACACTGGTGTTTAAAACTGTAAACTAGTTTCTAAACACTGGTGTTTAAAACTGTAAACTAGTTTCTAAACACTGGTGTTTAAAACTGTAAACTAGTTTCTAAACACTGATGTTTAAGACTGTAAACTAGTTTCTAAACACTGATGTTTAATATTATAAACTAGTTTCTAAACACTGATGTTTAAAACTGTAAACTAGTTTCTAAACACTGATGTTTAAGACTGTAAACTAGTTTCTAAACACTGATGTTTAAGACTGTAAACTAGTTTCTAGACACTGATGTTTAAGACTGTAAACTAGTTTCTAGACACTGATGTTTAAGACTGTAAACTAGTTTCTAGAAGAAACTAGTTTACATCTTAAACATCAGTGAGACACTGATGTTTAAGAATGTAAACTAGTTTCTAGAAACTGATGTTTAAGAATGTAAACTAGTTTCTAGACACTGATGTTTAAGAATGTAAACTAGTTTCTAAACACTGAGGTTTAAGACTGTAAACTAGTTTCTAAACACTGATGTTTAAGAATGTAAACTAGTTTCTAAACACTGATGTTTAAGACTGTAAACTAGTTTCTAAACACTGATGTTTAAGACTGTAAACTAGTTTCTAAACACTGATGTTTAAGACTGTAAACTAGTTTCTAAACACTGATGTTTAAGACTGTAAACTAGTACAAGAAAACAATAATTATTGACCTAAGAACTTTCCACCCCGATGGGCTAAATGAACGTTTTAGCTTTTTGTAATATTTCTCGTTTTGGTTTTATCCTTCCTTAAAAAGTTTTATACAGTAACTTATGTATCTATTATTTTTAAACTATAATGCATGTATGTGTGTGTATGCATGCATGTATTTGTATATGTGTATATATATGTATTTGTATCATCATTTGTATGTATATATTTGGGTGTATGTTTGTATATATATTGTTGCGTATTTGCTTGTTTGTTAATTTCCCGTAGCAACTCTTTCCGAGAAACTTCAGCGATACAAGTCATTTCGTAATCAAAACTAGTTTATTCTTTCTCGATACAACTTTGCAATACAGAGAATTTCCACAGTCACTTTAAACTTGACTACTTTTATGAACACACGCTATAAATCACAGTGACTCACACACTTTACTTACGGCTTGACTCCATTACCTCTATCTTCAATCTTTCTATCCATCTGCAGTTATTTGCCGGGCTTATATACTAAAATAGAGGGCGCCTGGAAAAAACGGAGCTGCCAGGAAAAGTCACGATCCTTGG